TGAGTGTAGCTTCCATTATTAGACTTATTAACCTATCCATGAGTACCACATATTTCATCTTTGATAGTAAATTATACGAACAAACACAAGGATAAGAGATGAGATCATGCCTGTCCCCCATCTTAGTGAACAATTATATGGCAATTCAAGAGGCAATACTAATGGCCAAATTTTTGGTTAGATACATGGATGACCATTTTGTCATCTGGCCTCATGGCAAGGAACGTTTAGATAATTTCCTACTTTCACTCAACCAACGTGAAAGGAACATTAGGCTCGAAATGGAAATAGAAGCGAATAAGTCCTTATCTTTTATAGATGTTCTCATCGCCAAATAGGGTAAGTTAGGAAGAGATGTTTATAGAAAGCCAACATATGTTGGCTCTTTGCTTAATTTTCTTTCCAACATAAGTTACAAAACTAAGGTTGGATTTTGAAAGTCAATCATTCTAAGAAGTATGCGGCTAGCGGTCAGCAAACATTTGACCAAGGAGTTGGAACTGCTGACAAATCTATTCCTGGAAAATAATTATCCTTTGGCCCTTATTGAGAATAATTTCTCTCTAATGAGGAATAAATTTTCAGACGGAGACGATTTAGTCTAGGAGAGATAGACTGAGACCTTTACCATACCATAATTTTGTCGTCATGCTTTCTCTCAAAAATGATGGGCGAATTAGTGAAGAAGTGGGGCATAAAAACAGTGTTCAAAGAAACCCTCACACTTTCTTCTATTATGCCATCATTTGGAGAGAAATATGACCCATTATCGAGATCCGGCTGCTACAAGATTGTTTGTTTATGCGGTCGATCTTATGTTGGTGAGACATACCGACCTATTCGACAAAGATTGGGAGAACCCAAAAATGCTTGTAAATGAAGCTGGGTCCAACGGTCATAAATGGCCGAACACATGGTAGAAACTGGACATGAAATAGAATGGTCTCAAACCAGTAGTTTTACTGATTATTGCAAGTATGTGGTTAAAAGAAAGATAAGAGATGCTGTTTAAATTACTAGCTTAGGTAATACTTTAAATATGAGGAACAGTGGTAGAAAATTGAGTAGAAAATACTTATGCTTGATTGATAGATTGAAAGAGCGAGCGGGTGTTGAGCGGGAGACTCAATTTGTCTACTCGGTGATGGTTCTAATTTCCCGCACATTCGTCCGAAATGTTAGAATACGCTCATCAACCAAACCAGACATGTCAGATTACGCAACCCCAGTCTTCCTTTTCCTTGGAGGGTTAAATATTAATGACCCTAAACTGAGAGGTTATGACAAGTTGTTTCGTAACTTAATTTTCATGCTTACAAGCACATATGTCATTATCTCATCCCTACTTGTTTAGTGACTTACGCAGCCTCAGTCAAGGCTTTCTTTTGTGTCATCAGGCCTTGAGGATCAGAATCTGAGATTAAACCTTTGACAATTCTGATTTAGGAACCTTATTGCATATAGACGCTAACACGCACACATACACATACGCATACACTCGAGTAAAAGTAGCATGACCAGTAGAAAAGATAAATAACCAAACCATTCTATATCGATCTATTTAGGTCTTTTAATTTCTTTTCGCTCAATTGAGTCTATATAAGAAGTAATATAGAGCAGAATAGTGTTCTTGGCCTAGTGTTAACGTGAGTCCTTTACAAGAATGACACCCAGTTCTGATGATGTCCATCATATGATGGACGAAAGCTCAGAACGTTTTCACCCGAAACGATGGAGGAAGTCTCGTCGACTGGGTCAACATGAACATTGTATAAAAGCCAAACGGCTGCAGTACAACGAGATTCATCCGTCCTCATCTGGTGAGATCGACCAACGAATCTCCTCTTCATTCACTTTCATGCGAAATGAAAGTCCCCTTAGCCATGTTATCTCAAGAGATTCATCGAAACCCAGTTTCTCTTATTATCTAGATGATTATAAAGAATAGATAGATGAATTTTCTCATATTGATATGAATAGGTCAACCTGCCGAGATTAAATGCCGCATTATCCAGGTTCGAGTCCCACTGGAGCTGCTTATGAAACTGCAGTGCATCTTGGATGAGAATACCTTCTGGGAA